ATTTGGTACATACATTAAACATAATAGGACCTTGATGCACGTCATTTTTTTTTCCGGATCAAGTTTGAAATGGCCGACTGGCGGCCATTTTGTTTTAAAGAATTCAGTTCTGGATTCGTATCCGAGACATGTCTGGATTGATCAAGTTCAAACTTCACACACACACAAGATACATCATGTCGCAATTAGATATGTGCATTTGTTTCATGATCTCATTAACGATAGCCAAATGGCGGCCATTTTAAAGCCGAAAATGCATCAAAATCACGTATTTTCACAATTTCGAAACCGGATCTCAGTCATGCATGGATGGATTTTGTTCAGATTTAGTGCATATATTAAACATAATATAAGCTTGATGCATACCAATTTTACTGGCGGCCATTTTGTTTTAAAGAATTTAGTTTTCAATCCATATCTCGGACATGCCTGGACAGATCAAGTTCAAACTTCACATACACATCATACATTATATCATACATATGCCTGTGCATTTGGGCCAGTCCTTTTAAGATCAAAAATTTACAAAAATTGCACATTTTCACCATACCGGAACTGAATCTTAGTCATGCGTGGGCAAACTTAGTTTAAATTGTTTTTTGGATTGTGTTGAAAATGGCTGACTGGTGGCTATTTTGTTTTACTGAATGCAGTTCAACATCCATATTGTTGCTGCTTTGAATGTATATGTCACTCAAATATGAACGGAACGGGGACGTGTCATTGACAATGACTTTTTTATAATTGCTTGTTAAACAATAATGGCAGATTTGTTGAGAGTAAATGATACAGTAACCACATTCCATGATTTAAATTATTGAGTAGAATTGTCTTACACTACAATAGTACAGGTATATAAGCTATTCCAGTTGAGTATTAATACATACAGTGTTGAAGCGCATCTTCTGCCGTGCTTAGGTTTCTCCATTTTTTGTCACCACAGATATTCAGAATGTCCAATAAAGTATTAAATGGACCCTCTGCTAGCAGTAATGGCAACAGCAGTGCTGAACCAGTACCAACACCGCCGACACCAACGCCTTTACCATCAACATCAAAGGTGGTAAGTTTAACTATAGTATAATTATTTCAGTTACTCAAATAACTATGAGCTATATACTAGTAGCATTCATATTAATTGTTTGCTGGTATTGTGTATCCAACATACCTAAATCAATTGCCAATATGACTCAAATTATGAAACAGTATTCTTCTGAAACTTTGATCTATAATGCTGGTTTCACATTGGAAAATAAAGGCTGGCCGTAGACGTACTCAAATTTTAGACTTCACTACAATTGTGAACACAATTTTCAATATTTGGCTGACCTAAATTAATCACTTCCGTGAAGAGATGCCAGGGCTTGTCCTAATTTTAATCCGCAAGTTAGGCTGATCTAACTACAATATGAACAAGCACTAGATTACTATTGCCATTATCAAATTAGGTTCTGGTTAGAAGATACTGAAATAGAGAAAAATACAAGTAAAAAGAAAGTTGAGACTTCTGTTGGTGGATTTTCAAGTGATAGTTGACAACAGCATTCATAGTGACCGAAAGAGAAAGCCTTGCAATTTGTTTTCCTCCATGTCCTCAAAACTATTTGTGTCTACTAATTATTGTCTCGTTCTAGTGTCTAGATAGTCTTGCCACTGTCACAGAACAAACATATGCAAAATCATATTGAACTGATTGCTTGTGTCCACTTTCCTTGCAATCCCTGATTCGTATTACAACGTAGTTGTAAAAACTCTAGGATGATTTAAGACACCATTCCCATGATGCAAATTATGTCAAGGAGAAAAAAAACTTATTGAGGTCCACCATGCTGGACACTTCTAATGTAACAAATCTGCATTCCAAAAAATAGAGGGCGCTGTAGTCTGGCCTGAATAATTGTGTTTTTAACTGTATGAAAGCAAAAAAATTTCAATCTTGTTTATTCAACAAATAAAAAAATGTGGCTGAACTCAGGTACAGTAAATGTGACAAATGTTGTGACTGAGTGGTCAAGTATTAAGTGGTCAAGTTAGGACATGCAGCCTTCCAATCTACATTCACACCACATAGCAACGGTTTTTCTACAAGGTGAAATGTGGGTTAATTAGCATTATGTTCAGCATTGGGCTAGTATAAGGGTGATTGGTAGTGTTGCCATTAGAACACCTTTTTTTAATTGCCTAAAACACAAGCATGTTACATAAGGATTGAAATATAAAATTTTAGGGTAGAAATTAGAGTTGGAATAAGTTGGTGTTTGAAACAATGTTAATTTATTCGCACCAGTGTGCATTTTAAGTCGCTATGTCTTGCTACTAACACACACTGGCACATGATTAACCCAACACAAAATAATGTTGAAAAGCATCTTACTGTGGAATTAAGTAAATTCTCATTTTATAAACAAAATAATTGAATATGAATGAAATCTGGAGCTATTTTTGTTTGTGCCTCAAATCACCGATCTGATCTTTTCAGCAGTAAACATGCTGAATCAACTTGATTTTGAGGGATTTCATTTTGATTTCTCAGAAATCAGTCCTGTTAGAGGGCGCACTGACAGGTGTAATGTTAAAAATGACCAGACCTTTTCTATCAGTACTTCACAAATTCTGTACTTTGAAGCATATTTCTAATAATCTTTTGTATTCAGCAATTCTATAAACCCTGTCATTTCCATAATTTTTTTTTTCGTATAAAAATTTTAGCAGGAATTTAATTATAGTGATCAAAAATATGAAGGCCCTTGCAATCATCCCTGGAAAGTTGATCTTACATTG